AATATCTCCAAAATGTTTATATTTTCATTGAAAGTTGAAAGTTGAAAGTTGAAAGTTGAAACTTGAAAGTTGAATTGAATTCAAGTTTCAAGTTTTACATATATGAGGAGATGCAGCATCTCTTACAGAGATGAGATGAGAGATACGGCATATCTTACAGCGCTGCATCTCCAGCGTCATCTCTAGACTAAAATTTTAAAAAAAAATTTTAATTTAGCCTAAGGATGACGCTGAAGATGCATCTCTTTACAGAGATGCCGTATCTCCCATCCAATCTCTGTAAGAGATGCCACATCTCATCTCCTTGGAGATCTCTGAGATGCTCGATTTCCTGGAACTGTGACACTGCTGTCTCCAATAGTGAATGACTGCATCTCCCGAGTGTGGGTGCCGTGTCTTTCGCTGGAGATGCGGCATCTCTAAGGGAGATCTCCAAAATTCGGGATATGTGACATTACTCAACTAACATAGAACCATGAGAACTTTTGAAATTAAAATCCAACCATGATCCATTTTCAAACCGCAAGGTTTTTAAATATTCTCTAAAAAATCTTTAAAAAAAACAAGATAGAGATGTACAGTTTTAGCTTTAGAAGTCACGTATTCACGCAAAAGTTGATGAATTTGCTGATGAGAAATTTATCAGACACGATTATGAAACTACGAAAATGGTGTTGTGAAGGACTTAACTAGTTTTCTTTGTACATAAACAAACTAACTATCCTCATATCAAGTTTCTGTCTGATGAAACCTTCACATTTTGTGATATAATTCAAGCATCTCTCTGAATATCTTTAAATATAATAACTGCGAAAAAAAAACATGAACGATGAAATTATTTTTGTGTTACTGAATTCTTTTTATGCTAAAGAAAGCCTTTCATACGAACGTACTATCCGTTATCCAAGGGGGAAGCAGCAGAGACTTCAACCGTGAAGTCTCATGTAGTCTTCTGAAGTCTTTCGAAGTCTTCTGAAGTCTCTTGAAGTCTTATGAGGTCTCACAAAGTCTCTTAAAGTCTCTGAAGTCTCAAAAAGTCTTATGAAGTCTCATGAAGTCTTTTGAAGTCTCATGAAGTCTTATAAAGTCTCATGAAGTCTAATGAAGTCTCTTGAAGTTTTTTGAAGTCTCTTGAAGTCTAATGAAGTCTCATGAATTCTTCTGGAAGTTTTGAAATACATTTATCCCAAGGCAAACAATCGGACACTAAGATCGGACAAGATTCTGTGTCTGATCATGTATGATCTTGTACGATTCATATCAAATCGTACAAAAAAATCTTAGTCTCTGAAATCTTACATCAATACTTACAGTAAGACTCTTGACAGATTTTTTTGTCTTGCCAAATCTTACTGTAAGATTTTAGAAAATCTTATGCGACGGTTGTATCTGATAGAAATCTTGCAGTAAGTATTGATGTAAGATTTCAGAGACTACGATTTTTTGTACGATTTCATATATTCGTACAGGATCTGCTGTCATATTTTTTGACCTGGATAGTGCATGAAAATTCATAAGAAACCAATGAAATTGTCTTGTTTTCGATGGTCTTATTTTAGCAGAAAGGAGAACTTTTTATTTTTTTTTCAATGTGGTGGAAAAAAACTCAAGTTTGTTGGATTTTAGAAAACATGATAGTTAATAACTGAATGCTTTTTGAATGAAGTGATTTATTTTTATAAGAAATGTTCCATCTATCAAATATCAATTTTATGAAGAATTTTATTCCTTTTTGTTTGTTTCTATCACTCGTGATAATCTATCAGCCGATGAACGGCTAGCTCTGTCGGCCAATAAGCAACCAGCCGTTTGCTTGCGTATAAATTTAGTCTTGTTATTTATTTGCACCTGAAAGTAGAAGTTTTTCAATGCTGGATTAATCGAATCAACTATACGCATACCAGTAAAGTTTATTGTGTCAGTTTTAATTTCACCAACGCTTTGTGTCATTGCCACATCTTTATTCTAGATATAGATGTACTGCGAGAAACAATTCTCAGAAACAAGAAACATTTTTGTAATCTCTATATGATAAGTTTTGTTTTTTGAATGTTATAGAAGTTTCATGTAATTTCTATAAGGTTTTTTGATGCTCATAGAATCTGCCTCTTGAAGTCTTGTGAAGTCCTATGAAGTTTTGTGAAGTCTAGCGAAGTCTTTTGAAGTTTTATGAAGTCCTGTGAAGTCTTATGAAGTTTTGTGAAGTCTGACGAAGTCTTGTGAAGTTTTATGAAGTCTTATGAAGTCTTATGAAGTCTTATAAAGTCTCAAGAAGTCCAACAAAGTCTGTGAAGTCTCACAAAATCCGTGAAGTCTCACGAAGTTTTTTGAAGTCCCATGAAATCCTATGAAATCTTGTGAAGTCCTTTGAAGTCCTAGGAAGTCTTTAGAAGTCTTTTGAAGTCTTGTGAAAATATGAAGTCACTATGGTTGAAGTCCGTTAAAGTCTATTGAAGTCTTGAAGTCCACTGTTTCCCCCTTGACTTGCAATAAGAATTTTGAAATGTTGATGATGGTGCAGCATGGTTTATTAGAAGAATCAAAAGCTATAAAAAATGTGGAGGACTACGAAACGAATGGAATTCCATGAATGAATATCTCCCATATGTTGATGAAAGAAACTCTCTCGGTAAATGAATAGTTTAAAAAAGGCTAAGAAGAGGAAACGAATGAGTGTCTTTTTTTATAAGAAAAATAACGACAATGGCGAACTCTTCGTAATACAAGAAGAGAAAGAGAGAGCTGGTAAAACAGTTTTTGTTGTTGTGAATGTATCTTAATTATTGTCGACGTCGTTTTGGACGGATATTTCGAGTTGTTTTTTGTTTTGATGAATCAGTCTCCTGAGATAAAAGCTCAAAATCAAGTTTTTCATCTGATTTACATTTACGCGTTGGTCGTTGTTCAAATGATGTTGGTTCAAACGGTGTTGGTTCAAATGGTGTTGATTCAAATAATGTTCTCATTTGAACTGCATTATACACGTTATGTTCTCTCTCATTTTCATGTGTATTATTTAAATAAACATCATTAATTTTGTTTGTTCTAGCGATGCAATAGATGATGAAGAAGGATTATCATGAAGTTGAATTTTATATACTTTACAAAACTTGCAAATAATATTTGACTGTTGTTGCTTGTCGTGCATGAAATAGACATATAAAAACCTCACTGCAGTATGATATTTTTGAGTTGTGAGATTCATCAAACAATATAAACCAACGATTACATGTAGTACAACAGACTGTTCAATGGAATTTGATGACCAAATGAATGTTCAATCAAGGTAAATTTTTATATCATTGTCTTAAATTATCATTGTTGGTTGAGGAGTAACTGGATTCTAAAAATAATCAGAAGATCAATCGAGGTACATTAAAAAGCATAAGTTTAAGAGAAAAGGAATGTAATAAGAACTTCTCTTTATTGTGTAATAAGAGATTATGTCGAAGTCAAACAGAAGGAATTTTTCATGTGTGAAAATTTATGATAGAAAATCAATTTTATAGAAGCATCTATATTGTTCATGATACTTTATAATATCTGATTGATCGAATAACATTAATAGCCTATTAATATCCACACGTTTAAGAAAGTTTAAAGTAAAGAACTATAGCGTTGGTAGAAAGTCTGTAGTAATTAGAAATAAAGAAAAACTAAAGTAATAAGCGATGTCTCTCAATTAAGCCAAGAAGACTACCTAGCTGACGAGAACACGAGACCAAATCTCACTAACTCCTTCTATTCTTTTAATGTTCGCGATATTTTAGAAAATTTAAAAACATGTACAGATAACCTACATCAGGATAAAAGCAAATGTAATGTTTCTATGAATCGTTTAGTATACTACATAATACTTTAAAATAACGAACAATTGGATCATCTAATAAACAAAATGACTGTTTAGTATACTGCAAACTTTTTTCCATATCTGTTAAAAATTTATTATTAGAACAAATTTCATTAGAAAGCAAATTCATTTTTTCTTTAACAGAATAATCCAAATTTACACCTGTTAATAGTTTAACATCTGTCAATATCTGAAATGAAAATGTGATCCTGAAAGTGTTGCAATTTTTTTTACCATAGATGAATTTGAATAAACAGGAAACTGTTCCATAAGATCTGTAGTTATGTTTTGCTTAATAAAATTTTGTCGATAATCAAAAGTTTCAAGCCATAAATGTTGATAATGTTGATCATCAATTGATTTGTTTTGAAAAATTGTTTTAAGTGTTTCAGCTTTTTCTTCCATTTTTTGTATTTCATTAGGTGCATCTTGTATGATTGATGTCTAGGAAAATAAAAAATACATATCTTTTTGACTGTTTCTAGTATAATTTTTTTTTGACGTATTTCTCTCTGACAATTGCGTTGTTAGATGTTTTTTACATTTTTCTTCCAGATTTCTCTCTTGAGTATCTTAGCTTCATTTCAATTACTTTATCTTCATCGAAATGTTATCGTTCTTATTTTATAAAACAGCAAAGAGAAAAGACCAATTCTGGAGCTAATGTTGTTATTCGATGGTTTGAGTTTTGTCAAGCCTATATTTTTCGTCCTATATCGGCAACTTCAGTTGGATTAACAATGTAAAAATGATGTTTGATTATTTTGAGAGAATAAAATGGACATGTTTAAAAATATATTCATGCCAAGAAGCAATCATCGATGAGTAAATGCCTTGTGATAAACACATAGTCGCTTCAAGTATTCTAAAAACTGTTGAAATAAAAACAAAACGAAGATCGAAATTCGAATATCAACCATGCTTTTTTCAAATAGTTTTTTGACTGTACCATCACTTAAGAGAAACAGTTTTCGAAGATTTTCGAAACCTCAGAAATCTTAGAAGGTCTCAAAAAATTCGGAAACCTATTTAGGTTTTCCATTATACTTTTTTCGAGATTTAGAAGCATTGAAAACTCTTTCGATTTCCGAAGTATTTCATTGAAAACCGAAATGGTATTATCGGATATCTGCTGGGGTAGAAAATCGACTTTGCTAGTAAGATGGGTTTCCTGATATACCTTTACGGTTTCCCTCAATATCATTAAAGTATTCGAATCGGCATTCTCGAAAACCAAAGGGTTTTCGAGCATCCGAAAGCCAAGAGGATATCACGAAAACTCACGGTTGAGACCGGAAATCCTTTCGGATACTTTAAGAGGTTTCCAAATTCGATTGGGTTTTCTAGGAAACGGCTTTTTTTTTAGAGAGTCGCGTCCCTTATGTCTCATACTCTCGTTTGTATAGATCAACTATTCTCAAGTATTGCCAGTTTTTTAAAGATATGATCGAACATTTTTCCATATTAATATCTATAAATAAACAAATATGTTGAAACGATTAGGATAATCATAAATAATGAAAATGATCGTAAGCGCTGAGTATCCCGTTGTTTTGAAGAACATACTATAGAGTATATTGTAATAGAAATCGTTCAGCATCAAAGTAAATTTAACACTTGCTTAATTAGTTTAATAATTTGATGAGCCTATTCTTTACATAATCTCTGTAACCCTTGCTAATGGTTTAGTTTATTAACGACTCATGTTTATAATATGTTCAATTCTTCTCTGAATATTGATGCATATTCTTTTATGTTCTTTTCATTTGTAAAGATAACTGATAAGGTAAAAGTGACATCAACAAATAATAAAATGAAAAGAAAAAATCGAACTCAAAGTTCACGTTTGTTTTAAACAGGCGAAGATCGCGCCACATCGTACGATTTTTTTTTGGTGCAAATATTTCAAGTGGGTTTATTTAAATTTGATAAGAAATCTTTTCAAATCGTATGTCAACATGCGATTATTATGACATGATTCATCAGTCAGACTTTGACATATTATATATAGATTAATTGTCATCTATATTCAAATGTTAGTTTTTTTATTAACAAAGATAAAAATTAATCGAAAAACTTTGTTAAATTAAAATAATGTCTGAGAGAAGAATAAAGAATTTTAAAGAAAAATTTCGGTTGTAATAATGAATATGGAGATTTTTCTTGAAAAACAACATGTATAAAAGCAGTTGTTAATTCTCCTGATTGTGCAGCACATTTAATTAACCAATAAGTATACCATTGTAAAAATTCCATAAATAATGGTGTTTTTGGTTGAGGATAAATCGATGTTGAATCTTGACTTCTTTTATATGTTTTTGTTTGACCATATTTATCAGTTATAATTAATTTTAATGTTGGTACAGCCCAATCATTTGTAATTGAACCAAGCCAACATTCTTCACTAATTGATGCAGCTCGACGATTATAAATAAATGATATATATTTTAATTGATATTTTTCTTTAAATATTTCATTTAATTGTTGTGCTTGTCTACATGCATGAGTCATTCCTTGACCATTTTTTGGATTAAATACACACATTGAATCTCCTACTAATATATAATTTTGAGGCCATTTTCGACCTAATAATTCAACATATTTTCGTTCATCAAAAGCACGTCGATATGGTAGTAATGGACTTAAAAGTTTTGTTGATTTTAATATTAAATAATAATCAATAGGAAGATATTCTTTTACCCATTCTAATAGATTTTCATATGAATCATTTGGAGGATATTCACTATTTATACAATAAACAGCAAAATTTGATATTAATCCTAACGAATTTGGATCTGAACTTTTTATTTGTCGAATAGGTGTTGTAAGAAAACCTTTATTATGATTTGGTGCATGAGCTGCATTTCCACCAACATGTATGGAATCTAATAAAGAATTTCCTGTCTTTAATCTTTCACCAACAAATGAAACATAACCAGTTCCAACATGTAATTGTTCAGTTGGAATAATTAAATTAAAATGTTGTTTTAACCATTTAGTCGATGAAGAATATCTTCCTGTACAATCAACTATAAAATCAGCATAAAAATCTAGTTGTGTATGAGAATTTAATTTCGATCGACATTTAACACCAAGAACAGAATTATTTGATTGATTAACAATTAATTGTATTACTTTAGTATTAGATATCCATTGAATTTGTTGTTGATTATATTGTAAACATAATTCTCTTCTTAAAATCGTTTCTAATGTAAAACGATCAATACAAAACCAATAAAGATCTTCCGTTAAATATTTATTTAATAAAACATCACCAATAACAAATCTAAAATTATTTTTTAATGAACATATTCGAGCACCATATTCATTTAATAATTTATTTTTTAAATTAGGAAATAATTCAAATAAAATTTTACTACCTTCACCTTGTAAAACATGAATTTGATAATTTTGTGTAACACTTCCACGACCTATTGAACTTGAACATTTTAAATTACAACGATAATCTAATAATTCTTTATCTGTTGATTTCATTAATATTTCATTTAAAACATCATCATTTTCTATTATTGTTATATGTTTAAAATATTTTGATAAATAAGCAGCAGTTGTCATTCCACCAAAACTTCCACCCATTATTATTGCATTATCATATTTTATATCGGAATCATTTTTTAATAATTTCCTTCTTTTTCTATAAATAATATAGAATGTTACTACAAATATAATCAAGAATAAAATCCAATACATGATTAGTACTAAAATAATATTATGTCTAAATAAACTATTTCAATGAATATATTTCTGTATGATCTTCTTTTATAGAACATTTTATTTCTCTTCCTGAAAAGATAAAATGATCTTTTTAAAATCTGATGATGTACTCTTCTCGTATATCTATTGGATGTTTTATTTTTATATACAAGATCATACGATAATGATGAGTTTTACTCGTATCATTTATCTTAAGACACTATATTTAACTATGACAACTTTCGGAATTTATTTTAGAAAACTTCAAATTGATAGAAAATCTTCAAGCATTTTAAATCTATAAAAATAAAAGAAAAAACAGTTTATTGTTGTATATAATTATTTTTAATAAATCTTCCAAGTGCCCAAATAGGAAAAATATTTCTATAATTAGTATAACTAATCATACAATTTCCATTAAAAACTCCACTAATACTTTGTTGATTCCAATCTCCATTTGAACATTGTTTATTAATAATAAATTGAATTCCTTTTCGAATTGCTATTGAATCTGCTTTTGCAGACATTAATGATAAAACAGCCCAAGCTGTATTAATAACTTGAGATTGTTTATGATCAATATATGATTTATAAACACAACTTAAATAAGATTCTCCCCAACCTCCATCGAAATTTTGTTTTGAAAGTAAAAATTCTACAGCTTTTTTTATTGTATTTGATTCTGTTGATTCTCCAGCAGCAATTAAACCTTCAATAGCAAACCATGTACCATATGTAAAACATACAGCCCAACTACCATACCAACTTCCATCTTTTCTTTGACTCTTTTTTATAAATTTAATTCCACGATCAATTGCAATGTCAATTTCTTTTCGTCTATGATTAGGAAAATGAATTTCTAAACGAAATTTCAATAATGCTTGTACACAAGCAGAAGTACATTCGACATATGAATAATCAACCATAATATTTTTGAAGACTTCGGCAGGATTTAACCATTCTATCCAAGATCCTGAACGTTGAAGTTCATATGATGCCCATCCACCATCTTTATTTTGTGTACTAAGAATAAAATGAATAGCATATTCTAAACGATCAGATGTTATTCTACGAGGACAATTAAATATTTGTTCATGTAATAATAATGTTGTTTTAATTCCTTCCGCAGTACAATCTGTTATTGGCCAACCATGATCTCTTGTTGAAAAAGGCCATCCACCTTTTGATATATGACGATTATATTTAATATTATCTTTAACATCTTCTAATACTTGACTTATATCTAAATAATAATAAGCTAAATTAAGAGAATTTGTATATAAATGTGCTAATCCTGTTTCTAAAATAGCTTGAATTGAAAAAACAGTATCCCATAATTGTGAACCATTATAACCTTGAATTTTCATTCCATCTTCACTTAACCATAAATAATCATTAACTCGATTTAAATGTAATTCAAATTGTTTACTTTGACGTCCTTTTGAATGCCATACTGATAACATATTTAGAAATTTATTAACAGGACCAATATCAATATAATTTGTATGTTCATCTTCTGCTTCAATATAACTTATTAAAAATTCACTTGCCTTATTACGTAATTGACGATTATATATATGTTCATAACTATTTGTAAAAAAATTCAACATTTTTAATAAAATTGTTTGAGGACTATATAAATCTAACGGACTAATTGAATTTCGATATTTGGTAAAATCAATATATTCATA